CTGTAGCCCTTGTTTTGGGCACACGCTTTCTCACTAGCCCCTGTTTGGGCACATCCTTTCTCTAGCCCCTGTTTAGGGCACACTCTTTCTCTAGCCCCTGTTTAGGGCACACTCTTTCTCTAGCCCCTGTCTAGGGCAGACTCTTTCTCTAGCCCCCACATGCTTTCTCTAGCCCCTCTTTAGGGCACACGCTTTCTCTACTAGCCCCTGTTTGGGCACATACTTTTTCTAGCCCCTGTTTTTGGCACATGCTTAGTCTACTAGCCCTTATTTGGGCACATGATTTCTCCAGCCCCTGTTTTGGGCACATGTTTGCTCTAGCCCCTGTTTTGGGCACATGCTTTCTCTACTAGCCACTGTTTTGGGCACATGCTTTCTCTAGCCCCTGTTTTTGGCACATGCTTTCTCTAGCCCCTGTTTTGGGCACATGTTTTCTCTACTAGCCCCTGTTTTGGGCTGATGTTTTCTCTAGCCCCTGTTTTGGGCACACGCTAAACAGGGGCTAGTGTACCCTAAACAGGGGCTAGAGAAAGAGTGTGCCCTAAACAGGGGCTAGAGAAATAGTGTGCCCTAAACAGGGGCTAGAGAAAGGATGTGCCCAAACAGGGGCACACGCTTTCTCACTAGCCCCTGTTTGGGCACATCCTTTCTCTAGCCCCTGTTTAGGGTACACTAATTTTCTAGCCCCTGTTTAGGCACACTCTTTCTCTAGCCCCTGGTTTGGGCACATGCTTTCTCTAGCCCCTGTTTTGGGTACATGCTTTCTCTACTAGCCCCTTTGTTGGGCAGATGTTTTCTATAGCCCCTGTTTTGGGTACACGCTTTCTTACTAGCCCCTGTTTGGGCACATGCTTCATCTAGCCCCTGTTTTGGACACATGTTTTCTCAAGCCCCTGTTTTGGGCGCATGCTTTCTCTACTAGCCCCTGTTTTGGGTACATGCTTTCTCTACTAGCCCCTGTTTTGGGTACATGCTTTCTCTACGCCCAACGCCCAAGCCCAACGCCCCAGCCCAACCATGCGCCCGACCATGCGCCCACCCATGCGCCCACCCATGCGCCCAACCATGCGCCCCACCATGCGCCCGACCACCCTCCACCCCTCCACCCTCCACCCATCCTTCCTCCTCCCTCCTCCCTCCACCCTCCAACCTCCACCCTCAACACCTCCACCCTCCACCCTCCATCCTCCTCCCTCCTCCCTCCTCCCTCCACCCTCCACCCTCCTCGCTCCACCCTCCACACTCCACCCTCCTCCCTCCTCCCTCCTCCCTCCACCCTCCACCCTCCACCCTCCTGCACCCTCCTCCACCCTCCTCCCTCCACCCACCACCTTCCACCCTCCACCCTCCACCCTCAACACCTCCACCCTCCTCCACCCTCCTCCTTCCACCCCCCACCTTCCACCCTCCACCCTCCACCCTCAACACCTCCACCCTCCACCCTCCACCCTCCACCTTCCACCCTCCACCCTCCACCCTCCTCGCTCCACCCTCCACCCTCCACCCTCCTCCCACCTCCCTCCACCCTCCAGCCTCCACCCTCCACCCTCAACACCTCCACCTTCCACCCTCCACCCTCCTCCCTCATCCCTCATCCCTCCTCCCTCCTCCCTCCACCCTCCACCCTCTACCCTCCACCCTCCTCCCTCCACCCTCCACCCTCCTCCCTCCACCCTCCACCTTCCACCCTCCACCCTCCACCCTCCTCCCTCCTCCCTCCACCCTCCACCCTCCACCCTCAACACCTCCACCCTCCAGCCTCCACCCTCCACCCTCAACACCTCCACCCTCCACCCTCCACCCTCCTCCCTCATCCCTCATCCCTCCTCCCTCCTCCCTCCACCCTCCACCCTCCACCCTCCACCCTCCTCCCTCCACCCTCCACCCTCCTCCCTCCACCCTCCACCTTCCACCCTCCACCCTCCTCCCTCCTCCCTCCACCCTCCACCCTCCACCCTCAACACCTCCACCCTCCACCCTTCACCCTCCTCCCTCCTCCCTCCACCCTCCACCCTCCACCCTCCACCCTCCTCCCTCCACCCTCCACCCTCCTCCCTCCACCCTCCACCTTCCAGCCTCCACCCTCCACCCTCCACCCTCCTCCCTCCTCCCTCCACCCTCCACCCTCCACCCTCCTCCCTCCTCCCTCCTCCCTCCACCCTCCACCCTCCACCCTCCACACTCCACCCTCCACCCTCCTCCCTCCACCCTCCACCCTCCTCCCTCCACCCTCCACCTTCCACCCTCCACCCTCCACCCTCCTCCCTCCTCCCTCCACCCTCCGCCCTCCACCCTCAACACCTCCGCCCTCCAACCTCCTCCCTCCTCCCTCCTCCCTCCTCCCTCCTCCCTCCTCCCTCCTCCCTCCTCCCTCCTCCCTCTTCCCTCCTCCCTCCTCCCTCATCCCTCCTCCCTCCTCCCTCCTCCCTCCTCCCTCCTCCCTCCTCCCTCCACTCTCCTACCTCCACCCTCCTCCCTCATCCCTCCTCCCTTCTCCCTCCTCCCTCCTCCCTCCGCCCTCCTACCTCCACCCTCCACCCTCAACTCTCCACCCTCCACCCTCCTCCCTCCTCCCTCCTCCCTCCACCCTCCAACCTCCACCCTCCACCCTCCTCCCTCCTCCCTCCACCCTCCATCCTCCACCCTCCTCCCTCCTCCCTCCTCCCTCCTCCCTCCACCCTCCACCCTCCACCCTCCACCCTCCACCCTCCACCCTCCTCCCTCCTCCCTCCTCCCTCCACCCTCCACCCTCCACCCTCCACCCTCCACCCTCCTCCCTCCGCCCTCCTACCTCCACCCTCCTCCCTCCTCCCTCCTCCCTCCTCCCTCCTCCCTCCGCCCTCCTACCTCCACCCTCCACCCTCCACCCTCCTCCCTCCTCCCTCCTCCCTCCACCCTCCACCCTCCACCCTCCACCTTCCTCCCTCCTCCCTCCACCCTCAACCCTCCATCCTCCACCCTCCTCCCTCCTCCCTCCTCCCTTCACCTTCCACCCTCCACCCTCCACTCTCCACCCTCTACCCTCCACCCTCCACCCTCCTCCCTCCTCCCTCCTCCCTCCTCCCTCCTCCCTCCTCCCTCCGCCCTCCACCCTCCCCCCTCCTCCCTTCTCCCTCCTCCCTCCTCCCTCCTCCCTCCACCCTTTATCCTACACCGTCCACCCTCCTCCCTCCACCCTCCACCCTCCACCATCCTCCCTCCTCCCTCCACCTTCCACCCTCCTCCCTCCACCCTCCACCCTCCACCCTCCTCCCTCCACCCTCCTCTCTCCACCTTCCTCCCTCCACCCTCCACCATCCTCCCTCCACCCTCCACCCTCCACCCTCCACCCTCCTCCCTCCACCCTCCTCCCACCTCCCTCCTCCCTCCTCCCTCCACCGTCCACCATCCACCCTCCACCCACCCTTCATCCTCCACCCTCCACCCTCCTCCCTCCACCCTCCACCTTCCACCCTCCACCCTCCACCCTCCTCCCTCCTCCCTCCACCCTCCACCCTCCACCCTCCACCCTCAACCCTCCATCCTCCACCCTCCTCCCTCCTCCCTCCTCCCTTCACCTTCCACCCTCCACCCTCCACTCTCCACCCTCTACCCTCCACCCTCCACCCTCCTCCCTCCTCCCTCCTCCCTCCTCCCTCCGCCCTCCACCCTTCCCCCTCCTCCCTTCTCCCTCCTCCCTCCTCCCTCCTCCCTCCACCCTTTATCCTCCACCGTCCACCCTCCTCCCTCCACCCTCCACCCTCCACCATCCTCCCTCCTCCCTCCACCCTCCACCCTCCTCCCTCCACCCTCCACCCTCCACCCTCCTCCCTCCACCCTCCTCTCTCCACCTTCCTCCCTCCACCCTCCACCATCCTCCCTCCACCCTCCACCCTCCACCCTCCTCCCTCCACCCTCCTCCCACCTCCCTCCTCCCTCCTCCCTCCACCGTCCACCATCCACCCTCCACCCACCCTTCATCCTCCACCCTCCACCCTCCTCCCTCCACCCTCCACCTTCCACCCTCCACCCTCCACCCTCCACCCTCCTCCCTCCTCCCTCCACCCTCCACCCTCCACCCTCCACCCTCCTCCCTCCTCCCTCCTCCCTCCTCCCTCCACCCTCCACCCTCCACCCTCCTCCCCCCACCCTCCACCCTTCACCCTCCTCGAATGGTCCGTTGTATTAATAAGCACTATGCATACAAGCATGCAAGGTTGATGGTGAGGCAATCATCCTACTCGCCACCTGCCTGGTCCACAAGGGGTCCAAGTGGGGGTTCTAGGAGTTGAAACAGGTAACCTTCAGCTAGGGGTTCGATGGCATCCGCTATCCCAGCCTCGTCCTTCACCCTCCTCCCTCCACCCTCCACCCTCCACCGCAACCTCAAGTTCCCCAATCTCATGCATGTTTCGATTTTCTCGTTCGTGCTCTCTACTGCTGTAATTCCTACCTCGACGCTTTGTGTCTGAATCTGAGTTTCTGTTTCCAATGCGTCCCCATTCCTTGTCAAGCCCCACATCCCCCCGCATCAGCCCCACATCCCCCCGCATCAGCCCCACATCCACCCTCATCAGCCCCACATCCCCCCGCATCAGCCCCACACCCCCCCGCATCAGCCCCACATCCCTCCGCATCAGCCCCACATCCCCCCTCATCAGCCCCACATCCCCCCTCATCAGCCCCACATCCCCCCGCATCAGCCCCACATCCCCCCTCATCAGCCCCACATCCCCCCTCATTAACCCCGCTCTTTCGCCGTTGCGCCGTTGCGCTCTTGAGCCGTACCGCTGAATGGCAAGTTGCTGCGTGCGACGGTGTGCGGAACGGCGACTCTGCTTGCTGTTGCTGCCTTGGACGAGTCAATTTCAGCCTCTACGCTTCTCAGCTGTGTTGCTCGCGCCCTCAGCTGCGTTGCAGCAGAGAAGATGGTATAGCAGCAGCAGAGCAGCAGCACGGCAGTGAGCATCAGTCAACGCCAGTCAACTCCAGTCATCGGCACCGTTGCCATCGCTGCCATTATGGTACGGTATGCATCCCTTTAACTGTACCCGCACTCTCATTGCATGTGATTCCACCCGTTCTCTCTTTCACTCCTCCATTTCACTGCATCCGCTCTCTCCTTCGCTTCTGTCTGCTGCTGCTGGCTGCTCTATCTGCTACACGGCCTGATTGCTCTTCATACTGCACTCAGAGTGATTTTTCCTCAGTGAGCTGTTCAGTGTGAGTGGAGGTTCAGGAAAGTGTTATTCCTCCCACCCTCTTGTCATTTTCCCTGGTTGACTTGTCATTTTCGTGTTGTTGCCTTTGGCCTTCCCTTCTCGCCTCGTCCCTTATTCATTTCCCTCCTTTCCTCGTCCTGTTTTCCTTGTTCTTATGTCTTCTCCTTGTCTTCTCGCCCTCACAGCCCCGCAGAGCAGCGGCGCCTCCTCCTCACAACCCCTCAGAGCAGCGGCGCCTCTCCCTCACAACCCCCCAGAGCAGCGGCGCCTCCTCCTCACATCCCCCCAGAGCAGCGGCGCCTCCTCCTCACACCCCCCCAGAGCAGCGGCGCCTCTCCCTCACAACCCCCCAGAGCAGCGGCGCCTCCTCCTCACATCCCCCCAGAGCAGCGGCGCCTCTCCCTCACAACCCCCCAGAGCAGCGGCGCCTCTCCCTCACAGCCCCCCAGAGCAGCGGCGCCTCCTCCTCACATCCCCCCAGAGCAGCGGCGCCTCCTCCTCACACCCCCCCAGAGCAGCGGCGCCTCTCCCTCACACCCCCCCAGAGCAGCGGCGCCTCTCCCTCACAACCCCCCAGAGCAGCGGCGCCTCTCCCTCACACCCCCCCAGAGCAGCGGCGCCTCTCCTCACAACCCCCCAGAGCAGCGGCGCCTCTCCCTCACAACCCCCCAGAGCAGCGGCGCCTCCTCCTCACACCCCCCCAGAGCAGCGGCGCCTCCTCCTCACAACCCGCCGGAGCGTTCTGTTTGCGGCCGTGTGCACTAGACATCAGCCAACCAATGGCACGCCATGCTCATCTGATGGTGGGGAGCTGCAAGGGATGCTGCTGCTTGCTGCTCTCACCCGGGAGGATTTGTCCTCCTCTGGACGACTCACTTTCTGCGTCCACGCTTCTCCTGTAGCTAAGTCTCCTCCCCTCCCTTTCTCCTTCGCTATCTCCATCTCTCTCTTACACTGCAGCAAAATTATGACCCTTGGCGCATGGTGGTGGTGGTCCGTGGTGCTGTGGCAGCAAAATTATGACCCTTGGCGCATGGTGGTGGTGGTCCGTGGTGCTATGGCAGCAAAATTATGACCCTTGGCGCATGGTGGTGGTGGTCCGTGGTGGTGGTCCGTGGTGCTATGACGTGAGCCGGAAATCGCAGGGATTGGGAAGATGGACGAGCCATGGCTGCGGAAGGGTAAACGAATGAGAAAGAGGAAAGTAAGCGTGGAGATGAGGGATATATATACTGGGTGACGTGTGGCTCCATTCAGTGCATGACGTCCCCGCCCAACTTGCAATGCTGCTTGCTTAGCACCAATGCTGCAGGTGCTAGCTGCCCGAGTGTATGGATTTCGGGGTACTCATTTGTTCAGATTCAAGCCTTACACTTACCAATCTGGGGTCATACAACCATTCCCTGCTGGTCCCGACAGCACCACGGGAGCTCATGTAGCAATTTAGTGGGAGTGGTGGGATAGAGTAGTGGAGAGGGAGTGCGTTCATGCCATGCGTGCGTCCCCTGTCCTCCTCGCTGGCTCAGCTCGCTGCTCTAGTGCCGTGGGCCACTGTCTCCATGCGCCTTCCCCGTTTCCCCTCTCACACCACTATTCAACTACTCCTTTTTCCGCTGCGCACCATTTTCAAGCTTCTCAATGCTCGCTCTTCACTGCTTCTGCTCTAGTGCCACCTTGACGTTCTTGCTGCTCCCATTCATATCAAGTTCCGACGCCGATCCTTTTCCTGTGCATCTCCTTCTCCCGTTGCCTTGCCCCGCTCTGGCCTCAGGGCGAATGGAGTGCAGGGGGGGGAGAGCCGCACAGCGCTGGCTGCAGCAGCATGGCAGTCAACGCCAGTCAACGCCATCAATGCGAGTCCTCGAAACCCGCGCCCATGCCATCGCTGCCCTTATGGTATGATGCATCACTCACCGCACCCCGATCTCTCCTTCGCTCCTCCGTTTTAGTGCATGTCCCCCAATTCTCGTGCTTGTTTCAATTTTCTCGGTTTTGCTCTCCACTGCTCTAGTGCCCACCCTGAGCTGCTTTCTGCCCGAATCTGAGTTGCTGCTTCCGCTTTCCCCTTCCTTGTCATGCTCGCTGCTTCATTCAATCCGAGGTCATTGCATTGCCTGACCTCTGCCAACTCCAGCAGCCATGCTACCAACACTGACAACAAGCAGCAACCGCTGCAGCAGCAACAGCTGCAGCAGCAACGATAGCATCGGTGGCGGCGGCAAGCCATGGAGCGTTTCGGGGCAGAGCAGATTAAGCATGGAAGCAAAGTCAACGCCAGCCACTTCCCCCGCCCGTTCGCCCTCCCCTTGCCTCACCTACCATTCCCAACTGCGCGCGCCACACATCCACGTTCCCCACTAATTATGCTTCCGCCACTCCCTCGCCTCCTCGTCCCCACCGCCCTCTCCTTTCGTCATCCCGCTTCCTTTCCTTCCGTCTCTTTGTCCCTGTTGCGCTCCATCCCCTCCGCCTCCCGCTCTCACCTCCCCCCTCCTCTTTTCCCCCATTTCCCCATTTCCCCATTCCGCCTCTCCCCGGTTCCCCCATTCGCCCCCAGGCGTGGCGAGCGGCAGTGGCAGCGCGGCAAGCCGCATGGAGGCAGTGAGCGCGCGCCTGCTCGCCATGCAGGAGACGCGGGGAGACGTGGTGGACAGGCGAGGGGAGAATGAGAGCTGATGGGGTGCGAGGCAAGCAGCATGCTCTGCTGTGCACACGCCCTGCCCTGCACGCTGTGGCCCACACGGCCCCATGGCAGCACAGCAAGCTTGCTCCAACCTCCTCCTCTCTCGTGCACCAACCCCGCACTCATGGCAGGTGCTGCTGCGGCACTGGAGCGAGTGCTGGGCGCTCTGCCGGGGCAGCGCGTGCACGCGGGCAGCAAGGAGCCGTGCACTGTAGGGGGGAAGGGCGCGGGGCAGGGGAATGGGGGAGGCAGTGCAGGGGAGGCGGGGGAGAGGGAACACGGGGCAAGCGAGGGGGGCTGGGGAGGGGAAGGCGTGGCGGCGTTTTGCAGCGGAGCGGGGGAGGCTGTGCTGCGGCACATGGATGATGAGGAGCCGCGCGTCAGGTGGGGCGGGATGATGAGCATCAGTGCATCAGCATCAGCATCAGCATCAGCGCATCAGCATCAGCATTAGCGCATCAGCATCAGCATCAGCGCATCAGCATCAGCATCAGCATCAGCATCAGCGCATCAGCATCAGCATCAGCGCATCAGCATCAGCATCAGCATCAGGGCATCAGCATCAGGGCATCAGCATCGGGGCATCAGCATCAGCATCAGCGCATCAGCATCAGCATCAGCGCATCAGCGAATCAGCATCAGCATCAGCCCATCAGCATCAGCATCAGCGCATCAACGAATCAGCATCAGCATCAGCGCATCAGCTTCAGCATCAGCGCATCAGCATCAGCATCAGCATCAGCGCATCAGCATCAGCATCAGCATCAGCATCAGCATCAGCCTCAGCGCATCAGCATCAGCATCAGCATCAGCGCATCAGCATCGGCATCAGCCTCAGCGCATCAGCATCAGCATCAGCATCAGCATCAGCGCATCAGCATCAGCATCAGCGCATCAGCATCAGCATCAGCATCAGGGCATCAGCATCAGCATCAGCATCAGCGCATCAGCATCAGCATCAGCATCAGCATCGGCATCAGGGCATCAGCATCAGCGCATCAGCATCAGCATCAGCATCAGGGCATCAGCATCAGCATCAGCGCATCAGCATCAGCATCAGCATCAGCATCAGCATCGGCATCAGGGCATCAGCATCAGCGCATCAGCATCAGCATCAGCATCAGGGCATCAGCATCAGCATCAGCGCATCAGCGAATCAGCATCAGCATCAGCACATCAGCATCACAGCATCAGTGCATCAGCATCAGCGCATCAGCATCAGCATCAGCATCAGCATCAGCATCAGCATCAGCATCAGCGCATCAGCATCAGCATCAGCATCAGCATCAGGGCATCAGCATCAGCACCATCGCATCAGCATCAGCGACAGCGCATCAGCGAATCAGCATCAGCATCAGCGCATCAGCATCAGCATCAGCATCAGCGCATCAGCGAATCAGCATCAGCATCAGCGCATCAGCATCAACATCAGCGCATCAGCATCAGCATCAGCATCAGCGCATCAGCATCAGCATCAGCATCAGCGCATCAGCGAATCAGCATCAGCATCAGCGCATCAGCATCAGCATCAGCGCATCAGCATCAGCATCAGCGCATCAGCATCAGCATCAGCATCAGCGCATCAGCATCAGCATCAGCATCAGCATCAGCGCATCAGCATCAGCATCAGCGCATCAGCGAATCAGCATCAGCATCAGCGCATCAGCATCAGCATCAGCGCATCAGCATCAGCATCAGCGCATCAGCATCAGCATCAGCATCAGCGCATCAGCGAATCAGCATCAGCATCAGCGCATCAGCGCATCAGCATCAGCATCAGCGCATCAGCATCAGCATCAGCGCATCAGCATCAGCATCAGCATCAGCGCATCAGCATCAGCCTCAGCGCATCAGCATCAGCATCAGCGCATCAGCATCAGCATCAGCGCATCAGCATCAGCATCAGCGCATCAGCATCAGCCTCAGCGCATCAGCATCAGCATCAGCATCAGCATCAGCATCAGTACATCAGCGAATCAGCATCAGCATTAGCATCAGCATCAGCGCATCAGCATCAGCGCATCAGCATCAGCATCAGCGCATCAGCATCAGCATCAGCATCAGCGCATCAGCATCAGCATCAGCATCAGCGCATCAGCATCAGCATCAGTATCAGCATCAGCGCATCAGCATCAGCATCAGCGCATCAGCATCAGCGCATCAGCATCAGCGCATCAGCATCAGCGCATCAGCATCAGCGCATCAGCATCAGCGCATCAGCATCAGCATCAGCGCATCAGCATCAGCATCAGCGCATCAGCATCAGCATCAGCGCATCAGCATCAGCATCAGCCTCAGCGCATCAGCATCAGCATCAGCATCAGCATCAGCGCATCAGCATCAGCATCAGCCTCAGCGCATCAGCATCAGCATCAGCATCAGGGCATCAGCATCAGCATCAGCATCAGCGCATCAGCATCAGCGTATCAGCGAATCAGCATTAGCATCAGCATCAGCATCATCATCAGTACATCTGCGAATCAGCATCAGCATCAGCATCAGCATCAGCATCAGCGCATCAGCATCAGCATCAGCATCAGCATTAGCGCATCAGCGAATCAGCATCAGCATCAGCGCATCAGCATCAGCATCAGCGCATCAGCATCAGCATCAGCGCATCAGCATCAGCATCAGCGCATCAGCATCAGCATCAGCATCAGCATCAACATCAGCATCAGCGCATCAGCATCAGCATCAGCGCATCAGCATCAGCATCAGCGCATCAGCATCAGCATCAGCATCAGCATCAGCATCAGTACATCAGCGAATCAGCATCAGCATCAGCATCAGCATCAGCATCAGCATCAGCGCATCAGCATCATTGCTGGACACTCACGACCACTCATGTCCTGTTTTTCCTTTGCTTAAGCCTACTGCACGCACGTAGCTCACTGAGCCATGTCCGGAACTCACGACCACTCATGTCCTGTTTCTTCTCCCACACACGCCCTGCCTGCCCCTCCACCTCTTCCCCATCACCTGCTCGCTCGCCCCTCCGTGTGTGTGTGTGTGCGTGTGTGTGTGTGTGTGCGCGCGCCAGGCTGGCAGCAGCGGAGGCGCTATGTGCCCTCTCGCACTACGGGTCGCTGCCCGCCACCCTCACCCTCTTCAGGTCGCCGCTCCCCCGCTCTGTCCTTCCACTCGCCACTCGCCATGCGCCTTCCCCCGTCCTCCCTCCTCCCCTCTCCCATTCTCGCTGTGCACACTTGCCAGGCAACTTCATGTTTCCCAACGCCATACTTGCTGCTTCAGTCACTCCTAACTTCATTGCCTGCCCTCTGCCCTAAGCAAATCCCGTTGCAACTCCATCTCGCCGTGCCTTCTCCCCCATCCGTGCTTTGGCCTAAGGCCGAATGGAATGCAGGCAGCAGAGCAGAAGGGCGGTGGCTGCAGCAGCATGGCAGTCCTCATCACCCACGCCCACTCTATCGCTGCCATTATGGTACGATATGCATCGTTCAACTGCACTGCATCCGCACCCTCCTTCGCTCCTCCATTAGACTGCACCTGTTCTCTCATTCGCTTCGTCATTTCACTGCTCCCGCTCTCCCCTCAACCCTTCACGTTCTGTCGATTGCTGCTGGCTGGCACTGGCTACTTTGGTTGCTCCTCGTGCTTGCACTCACTGTGTGTAGCTCACTGTGGTACAGGGCGTGCTGGCTCTACATGCTGCACAACCCTTGCTGTTCCAAGGGGAGGCAGCACAGGGAGGACGCACTTGGAGGGCGGCAGTGGGATGATGCAGAGCAGTGGCGCCCCGCCCTCACAGCCCCCCAGAGCAACGGCGCCTCTCCCTCACAACCCAACGCCCAAGCCCAACGCCCAAGCCCAACTGCCGCCCTCCAAGAGCGGGGTTCTACTAGCCCCTGTTTTGGGTACATGCTTTCTCTACGCCCAACGCCCAAGCCCAACGCCCAAGCCCCAACGCCCAAGCCCAACGCCCAAGCCCAACGCCCAAGCCCAACGCCCAAGCCCAACGCCCAAGCCCAACGCCCAAGCCCAACGCCCAAGCCCCCCAGAGTAGCAGCGCCTGTCCCTCACAGCCCCCCATAGCAGGGGCGCCTCTCCCCCACAGCCCCCCAGAGCAGCGTGAGATGACAGGTATTGGGCAGAGTGGGTTTGGTGGTCAGGTGGAAGGTGCTGGTGGTTGTAGTGGGTAGTGGTTGGGTAGGGTGGGATGAGGCAGAGTGGGTTGGGTTGGGTAGGGCAGAGGATAAGTGAGAGCGGGTTAGGTTGGTTAGGGAAGGGTGGGATTTGGAAAATTGGTTTGGGCTGGGAGTTGAGGCAGAGTGTGTTGGTCAGGGCTGGCTGGGATGAGGCGGAGTGGGTTGGGTTAGGTCAGAGTGGGTTGAGTTGGGTAGGGCTCTGTGGGATGAGGCAGAGTGGGTTGGGTTGGGTCAGAGTGGGTTGAGTTGGGTAGGGCTCTGTGGGATGAGGCAGAGTGGGTTGGTAGTGGTAGGTGTGGATGAGGCAGAGTGAGTTGGGTACGGTTGGGTGGGATGATGCAGAGTGGGTGAGTAGGGTGGTGTGGTGTGGGATGAGGCAGATTGATCGGATAGGGTGTGGTGAGTGGGATGGGGCAGTGGGTTGGGCTGGGTTGGGTGGGATTGGACAGTGTGGAATTGGTTAAGGAAGGATTGGATGGGGTAGAGTGGGATGGGGCTGTGTGGGTTGGTTTCAGCAGGCTGTGTTGGGATGAGGAGAGGGATGGTTTGGGTTGGGTTGGTTAGGATTGGATGAGGCGGAGTGGGTGGAATAGGGTAGGGTTGAGGAGTTTTGAGTAGGGTGTGGTGAGGTGAAGATGGCTGGGCAGGGTAGGACGGAACAGGGTAGAGTGGTTTGGGTTGGGTGGGAAGGGAAGGCATTTGGCAGGCAGGTTTTGGTTTTGGTTGGGTTGGGAGGGGTTGGATGAGGCAGAGTGGGTTAGAGTGAGCCTGTATGGGTGAATCTGGAATGAGCATCTTGGCACATCTCGAGCAACTTTGCCTTCATCTGAATCTTACGGTAGTTTTGGGTGGGACAGGGGTGGGGGGGTCATACGGTGGATTCATACCCTAACATAATAATATCGTAGACCCTACTCTGGTATGTTAACCAGACGTGTGGTGTAATGCTGTGTGCATGATGCATCTATGATTCCAGAAAGCTTGTTCTAGCATATCGTGCCGTAAGTAGTTGGGCCTTTTGTCTCTTGACCGTACCGGTGCCTTGGGAGATGAGCTTACGGTTGGTGAACACTCAGAGCTCAGGGAGGTATATACAATACCAGAAAACATGTACGGTATGGTACGGTACCTACTGGTACCTACCAGTACCATTAGAATCTAACATAGCCGTGTTTGTTGACTGTTGTCATGGCATGGCAGTGCAACTAGCTGGTGGGTATGGGAAGGGAATCCATTCTTGAGTGAGTGAGTGCCTGCCTACACTTTCCTTTCCTGCCAGACACGACAAATCCCATGTCAAACCTGGTGCGCAGCGCACCGCACCACACTGAGTATAAACACTTGCATTGTACACTGCTGCTTGAGTCTAGGAGCCCGAGCCACATCGGGAACACCTTAATGTCATGCACTAAGATTCCCAGAACCACCACACAGGAAGAAGCCTGTATTATATCCTGCTAATAAAGGCTGCGTCTTGTGTGGTGCTTGTTGGATAGCCTAGATCGTCCCTTCCTGTGACAAGCAGAGGTTGCAATGCCTGGCACCAGCAGGGGCACTGGATGGCAAAAAAAGCCAGGAAAGGTGATGCGGGGAGGTGAGTGTGCAAGCAGCAACAAACTACACCCTAATGCTCACTCAACCACCCACTCTGAACATGCCCACTGCCACTCCATACGCCCAGTGGTCGACATTCACAGCCAACGGCCCGCGCGTTACTAGCCCACGACAAAGCTAAGACATTGTTGACCTCGAATAGGTTAATCGAGTTCCCCAGACAAGACACGCTGGGCTACCCAGATACAGTCCCATTCTCCCCGTAGAGAGCGCATGCTCGAAAGAGGAGCACAGAGAAAGATGGGGAGCGGGACTGAAATGGGCATCAGGTGTATCTTCTTTCGAGTGAACGAGTGGTTTTATTAGGGGATAAAGCAACACCGTTGGAGGCAATATCTCTGTCGTGATTGGAGAGACGGCTGGAGGGGAGAGGACTGCCAGCAGGTGCCACGTGGCGCCAGTCCGTTGGTGGAAAGGGGCACAGCTCCGGCAACAGCATACTCGGCCTTACCGCTTCCACCCTGCTACTAACCCTAGTTGTTTCAGCTCTTTCCTCTGCCGCTGCTGTCGTTTCTAAGCCATTTTCACATCCGTCACTTGCCCAGGTTAACCCGTACTCGCCCTCGTCCTGTGCGCCACATCTCAGTCCGCCCAGATCGCTGCAGCTGAGGCTGCGCCCATGCTGATGCCTCTCCGCCGTCAGCACCTCCACCGCCTGCGGGTCGCGGCGGCGGAAGTCCTCGTTGCGCCACTCCGCCACCACGCGCGCCAGCTCCGCGCTCGCCTCGCGCACCACGCGGCGCAGGCGGCGGCGGCGGCGGTGGCGCGATTCGTCGTCGTCGCGGATCGTGCAGCGGTCGGCGGAATCGGCGGCGGTGGCGACTAAGCCCTGCTGCGCCAGCCGCGCGATCTCTTCGCGTGAAACGAAGCGCCAGTCAATAGCGGGGACGGGGCATGCAGCAGCGTCGTTGCCCGTCATTTCGACGCAACTTCACGAATTGTCCAAAGATTCTTGTGGACTCTGGGGTCTGTAACATCTGTAACACGGCAACCATGTGTAGCGTCGTTATTCCACACCACATTACCTCATCAGCGTGCAGCCGTACCTCGCGGTCCTCGAGAGTATTATTCCAGCCTAACATTGCGCTGGCCGAGAGTGATCGAGGCGGGTTACGCAGTCCATGCTAGGGTGGGGCATGATCGTAATAGGTTCAATGTGACGACCGGCGGCCCGCTCGATCCGTTGCGACTAACGCCGGAAGGACGATATGCGGCGCACGAGGAATGAGACGCGAGACGGGGCTCGAGGAGCGAGACGAGATAGTGAGGAGAGACGAGCGCTGTCGCGGATCGTTGGTCGATTACTAGTAGTTGCGAATAGATGGCGATGATTATTAATAAAGTCGACTCGAAGTTGGGCTGTCGGCTGCCGTGGATAGCACGTCGCCATCCCCATTCACAGACGCTGCTTTGCTCCCACGCGGTGCAAGGAATATGGCGTTCCAACGACGCGTTACGCGGAGCCTCAACACCAAGAGGCTCCGAAACATTGCAGAAAAGTTCGAGGTCACGCGTTAACATGGTAAATAGATAACGCGCCGGCAAATAGTCCATTGAGGTTAAGTCAGTCTGGCAGCGAAGGCGACAAGACATCTGCACAACTAATTACTCGTTTTTGTCGGTCTGTACTCACCGAACCGCAGCTTCAAGCTCCGCGTTACCGACCCAGAAAGCAGGTCAACAGTCACGGTCAATCCAGGAAAGTTCTGAAATCAGTCGAGTGGGCATCAACGAAGCAGTACGACATGAAAGTTTCGGTGGGCACTAGTCAAACAGCTATTGACGCGTGTCGGATCTGGCTAGTCGGGCTGGATCGACTTACACACCGAGATGGACGGAAGAAACTCAGGGTTGGGAAATCGTAAAACATCGCCAGCCATGGACCGCAGGCCTGCTTCCCTGGCGACTAACAGTCAACTAGGTTAAATACCTGGCACCTACTAACTGTACTCCGCTCGGCAACAAAAGTGCGAGTGTCACCTCTTCAAGTCTCAGTTGTTGCAGTAAATGTCTCGCCATGGTGTGCTGCGTTCGGGTACAGGGGTTATGAATCAATAAGGCAGGTCAAAGTTTGGGCGGGAATAACTTCACAGGCAACGAGTACCTGCTATTTCTGTTATGGGTGGTGAGTGAGTGCGAAAACATGATCGGGTAACTAAATCTCAGACAACGCCAAACCAGTCGTATCAGCGCTTTCATCCAGAGCTTCTCTCAACACGGGTATGATACGGTAGCTTAGGTAGGTACAGTCAGCCATTTCTAGAACCACATACTACTCCAGTAATCCAGATTCCGCGGGAATTTCAAGGTGGCAAGCAGGGCTTTTTTTTTATTTTCACCACTCGGATTTCCAGAGCTGTTTTCTAGAGAACTCTGAAATTCATGGTATGAGCATTACTCTGATGTGTCAGAGAAAACGTAACTTCTGAAAAATCTACTCTGGCCACCCAGTGTACTTATTTTACCATCCTCTCAAGTATTGAACCCAGGCCCTCTGCACTCCTACCAAAAGAATCAAGCGTTGCGCTACGCGCTCACCAAGTTACTGAGTTTTTTTATATCAGAACCCTGACAAATCAGAACCCTGACAAATCAGAGAAAACTTATCCTCCAAAAAAATTACCCAGACACGTCAGAGTGACCCTCTAAAAACCACTCTGATTTTCAGAGAAACAGAGTAATTTACTCTGATAAAAAAACCCCTGGTGGCAAGTCAGACTATCAGAGACTCCTACCACGCCTCTCAGGGTTAGGCCTCTTCCTCGTTAGTTCTTCAAAGCATCCTAATCCATTCCCTCGCTGACTTCATTGCGAAACCCGTTCCCGCGCGATGCAAGCAGCGGCAGCAGCAAGATCCGTGCTCAAGGCCATCGCTGGTCTCACACAGTCGCCTGGAACGACTGTCGGATCGCCCGGCGGGAGCAAATCGACGGTTGATGCAGCATCTGCAATCGCCGCAGCGGCAGGACCGATTCCTAACTGAACCGCATCAAACCGTGTGATACAACCCATGCACCGCACAGAAGTGTACAAGTCTGACCTGACCTGAGATGGATCTAATCAAACACAAGGTGTCAACCGCCCTCATTGTTCTGACGCAGGCCAGGCCAGTACCGTATATTCTCCTTGTAATGCTGCTGCTACCTGAGTGAGTGGTTGTCGTTAGGTAGTATAGCAAGACCCTCCTGGTCACAAGCAGAGGTGCAAATTCAAAGCCTGGCAGGGATACTGATAACGAGACACTGGAGAGGTGCTTAGAGCAAGTCAGTTGGCAAGCAGCAACGAGCTAGGCTCCTTGATGCGAACCACTTGTTGAATTAGGAGATAAAGAGGGAGTGAGGGAGGCGTTATCTCTGTCATAATTAGAGAGACGACCGGAG